CAGACAACTCCTGGAAAACTGTGTCCAATTCTGGGCACCACAATTGAAGGGAAATGTTCAGAGGAGGGTACGACTAAAATGATCAAGGGTCTGGAGAACAAGCCCTATGAGGAGTGGCTTAAAGAGCTGGGCATGTTTAGCTTGAAGAAGAGAAGGCTGAGAGGAGACATGATAGCCATGTATAAATATATGAGAGGAAGCCACAGGGAGGAGGGAGCAAGCTTGTTTTCTGCTGCCCTGGAGACTAGGGACAATGGCTTCAAACTACAGGAAAGGAGATTCCACCTGAACATTAGGAAGAACTTCCTAACTGTGAGTGTTGTTCAGCAAAGGAACTCTCTGCCCCAGAGTGTGATGGAGACTCCTTCTTTAGAGGCTTTTAAGCAGAGGCTGTATGGCCATCTGTCAGGGGTGCTCTGAATGCAATTTTCTTGCTTCTTGGCAGAGGGTTGGACTGGATGGCCCATGAGGTATCTTCCAACTCAATGATTCTATTATTCTTAAATCTGTTCTTATCTGAAGAGCAGCTAAAAAGCTCCTAGTTGTTCTTCTGGTGGGTTTAAAAAAATCTTCCATCAGAATTGAATAAGATAGGCATTCAAAGAGAGAACATCTTCAAGAAGGAGTGTCTTCCAATAAAGGAAGAAGCAAAATAGGACACTTGGCCACTCCTTAATAGAAGGAAGCTGCATAGCTTTCTTCTGTTCTATGAGTCCACTGATGCATCTACATTGTAGAAATAATTCAGTTTGACCCCACTTTAACTGCCATGTGGAACTTTGGGAGTTGTAGTTTGGCGAGACATCAGTTTTCTCTAGTAGTTAAGATAAAAAACCTTGTAAAACTACAACTCTTGTGACTGCATAGCATTGAGCCATGGCAGTTAAAGTGGGGTCAAACAGAACTAATTCTACAGTGTAGATGCACCATTTGTTCTTCTATATCTGGAGTTCTTGCTATATATTTCTGATGATCTTGGCTATATATTTTTCATCATTGGCATCCATTACTTATAAGTTAGGGATAAAAAAGGAATTTGGTAGGTTTGCCCACAACCTAGAAATTACAACATGCATGTAATTAGTTACATTGATATAACAAGGATACAACAAAATTTCCTTTTTAAAACTATGTAACAAGTAAACAAAAATAACAAATAATTGAGTATTTAGTTTGCTACAAAGTTATTGTCAATTGGTGTAAAAGTACAGGCAGTCCCCAAGTTACATACAGGATAGGTTCTGCAGATTTGTTCTTAAGTTTGGGTCCAGGCTATTTGTGCAACCACATCTCCCTATATAGACCATCTCATGCACTGCGGTCAGCGGAGGAGGCCCTGCTCCTGGTCCCATCCCCATCTCAAACTCGGCTGGTGGGAATGAGAGAGGGGGCCTTCTACATGATTGCTCCTCATCTCTGGAACTCCCTCCCTAAAGAAATAAAAACACCCCCACCCTCCTCTTCTTTAACAAACTTTTGAAAATGCACTTATGCAATTTAGCATATGGAGAGGATGAAGACCAAGATACTACTCCACCAGAATGCTAGCAAACCCAGTTGCACTATATGTTGGCTAAGATACATTTTTAATAAACACCTATGTTAGCCATTTTAAATACAATTAACATTCAACTGTTTTAATTATATATATTTAATGTTTACACGTGTTCTAGTTTATTGACTAATATGGTTTATTACTACCTACTAGTCCCTATTTCAGCATTTAATTCTTTCATTATAAGTTCACTCTTAATTATTGTTTATTATTGTATTATTTATTATTTGTATTATTTATTATTTTGTATTATTCCTGATGTTGCTTCTTACGTGTGTGTGTTTGTGTGTGTGTGTGTGTGTGTGTGTTTACACGTGTCTGGAGTTACAGTTAAAAATGTATCTGTTCTGACTTACATAGAAATTCAACATAGCAACAACAACAACAACAATCTTTATTTCCAGAGCCCCTTTCCGACCAAGGCCGGGTTTTGGATACTTCTCTCTCTCTCTCTCTCTCTCTCTCTCTCTCTCTCCATATATATATATATATATATATATATATATATATATATATATAATACTATTCTCTCTCTCTATACACACACACACACACAATACTCTCCCTCCCTCTCTCTCTCTCTATATATATACACACACACAATACTCTACATTTACAATACTCTCTCTCTCTCTCTATATATATATATATATATATACACACACACACAATCATTACCCTCCCTCTCTCTCTCTCTACACCCACACACACAATCTTACACACTTATCTACTCTCTCTCTCTCTCTCTCTCTCTCTCTCTCTATATATATATATATATATATATATATATATATATATATATATATATATGCATGCTTTGGATAGCATGGGGAAGGGTTAGTACCCCTGGGGAGTTTGTTTTGCTGTCTGTTCAGGAAATTTTGCCTGAATTCTGTCCCTGTGCTAATTGGATTTTGAAAAATTGGGCTGTCTGTGTAAACAAAAATTGGCGATAAAGCATCAGTGGAGATACATTTTCCCCATGATAACACTTTCAGGAGTTAATTTCTCTTCTAAGGGATAGATTTCTCCCACTTCCTGTTGTCTCATCCCTTTTTCTAGCTTCCTGCTGTCTCATCCCTGTTCTTAACAATGAGTCATTTATAAGTTGGATGTTTGTAACTTTGGGAATGCCTGTATATAATAGTGTTTTGGGTGTTGGATTACAACTCTGGAGTCCAAGGTTTAAATTCATACTCAACCACAGAAACCCATGGGGTGACCTTGGGAAGTCACATTCTCTTAGCTTCAGAGGAAGACCCCTTGCTAAGAATCGCCCGTGATAGGGTCACCTTGATTCAGAAAAAATCTTGAATGCTGTTACATGGCACTGTTACACATTACTCCTGAACAAACATGGCTAGAACTGAGCTATGTTTTGCATGCTGCTTTGAGTCTCCATGTGGAAAGAAATATTAACAACAACAAGCAACAACAACTTTATACTTTTACCCCACCTCTATCTCCCCGAAAGGATTCAGGGCAGCTTACATATGGTGCAAAGTGCCTAAGACAAAACGTAAAATAAACACACAGTACAATACAATAAAGTAAAAGCTATAGCATATAAAAACAATTTAAAACTCAGAAAATACTGTGTGTAAATAGACATAAACATAACAACAACAACAACAACAACAGCTTTCATATACTGGATTACTGCTGTATAGATCCAGATATAACTGAATAGGACATTATAAATCAGGAATGTGGTGTTTGTTTTTTTCTGTGTCAGGAGCAACTTGAGAAACTGCAAGTCATTTCCGGTGTGAGAGAAATGGCCGTCTGCAAGGACGTTACCCAGGAAACATCCATAAGGATGTTTTACCATCCTTATGGGAGACTTCTCCCATGTCCCCTCTTGGGGAGCTGGAGCTGACAGAGGGAGCTCAACCTGCTCTCCCCGAATTCAAACCACTGACCTTTTGGTCAGCAGTCCTGCTGGCACAAGGGTTTAACCCACTGCATCACCGGGGGCTCAATGGGAATGTGATGGAAATGTTTAGATTGGTGTGAAGAACATCTGACGCTTCTATTTTCCTGCTTTGATCATTTTTATTCTCCTGTTCTTGTATCCTTAACTTTATCCACTTTTCAAATGAAGCCCACAACCCTTTCAAGCTATCCATATTGCTTGCCATCCTTATACATTTTGTAGCATGAACCCCAGAGTCTATCCAAGCACAGTCAGTTAAATTATCCATTCATTCTACAGGTGGAATAAGAAATATTCCCTTACTTGAAAACCTGGTGATGCTATCATGGCATGTGGGAAGTTAAAGAGTTCTTTCTAAAATGAAGAATAGCATTAATTTGTACAAAAACACTGTATGATTTCCATCATGTTGTTTAGAAAAAGTACACCTACACTGCCAAATTAATTCAGTCTGACAGCACTTTAGCCGCCATGACTCAATGCTATGAAATCTTGGGAGCTGTAGCTGTACGTGGTCTTTAGCCTTCTCTACCAAAGGGCGTTGGTGCCTCACCAAACTACAAGTCCTGGGATTCCAAAGCCTGGACCCATGGCAGTTAATGTAGTGTCAAATTACATTAATTCAACGGTGTAGATATAGTTTAGGAATGATTAAATACATCATATTTTTTTAAAAATCTAGAGGCCTGAAAATCTGTTTAGATACTAATTGTTTTAAGGCTAGTTGTGACCATGATCCAAATAGCCCTCTTCAAGAAAGTAACTGTTACATATCCATAGCCGGGAGCCCTCAGTGGTGCAATAGGTTAAACCTTTGTGCCGGCAGGACTGCTGACCAAAAGGTTGGTGGTTTGAATCCAGGGAGCGGAGTGAGCTACCATCTGTCAGCTGTAGCTTCTCGTGCAGGGACATGAGAAAAGCCTCCCACAGGATGGTAACACATCCGGGCATCCCCTGGGCAAAGTCCTTGCAGATGGCTAGTTCTCTCACACCAGATGTGACTTACAGTTTCTCAAGTCACTCCTGACATGGAAAAAAAATCCATGGCCTCTTTAAGAAAGCTAGGTTGACATGCAGCCTTCAGCACTGGTGATTGCAAAAGTCAACTCAAAAAAGTGGAAACCTCATTAAGATATATATCATTTTAAAACCAGTAATACACCATAGTGAGGCATTTGATGTAACAGTTTAAGCATTGGACTATAGCTGTAGAGATCAGCGTCTGAATCCCTGCTCAGCCATGAAGTCCACTAGGTGACCTTGAGCAAGTCACACTCTCTCAGCCTCAGAGGAAGCCAATGGCAAGCCTTTTCTGAATGAATCACACCATGGAGACCCTGTATAGGTTCATCTTAGGGTCGGCATAAGTCGGAAATGACTTGAAGGCAAACAAGAACAACACTCAGAGAGTATAAAACATGTACAGAGCCAGCCAATATTATGGTCAATTAAAACATCCACAATCTAAATCCAGACCCCATAGTACAAGAAGCAAACCCATTCACTTACCTATCTGACGGGCACCAAAAATTGCTGGAGCGCCTTTGGAAACCTCCGCCTCTGTAGGGAAAGCAAAGCAAAGCAATCTCCTGAAAGAACAGCTTGATTCAGGCACAGAAACTGAGCAATGACATTGTCTCAGCCAATCCCAAGTGGCATTTTTTTAAGGTCTTCCTCCTTAATATGCTAAGGCTGTGCCTAAATCCAGTATTTGATGGAGAGGATGGTAATGAAGATTGATGGTGGAATGTTATTGTTGATGAAACAGACTTTGCATCAAGCGCACAACATGCTCCATGGCATAGTGATGCTGTTGGGTCTCACCAGCCCACAAACTTTGCTCGGGCCAAGTCTCCAAGGCTGGTTCAGAGACACTTGCCTTGCCCAGGCTCCTTGCCCACTCTCACCTCTTCCTTTGGCCCATGGTTCCCTGGTCCCATCTCTTTCCTGCACCAGGAGCCAAAGTTTGCCCTGGAAGAGCCGCTCATGGCTTCGGCGCAGAGAAGTGCATGGAGCAATCCAACCGCGGCATCCACCTGAATTGACACGGCTACCGGCTACCTCTTCTCCGTCAACACAATCCCCTTTCTAGCCATCCAGACTGCCTCACACCAGTTGCTAAGCAACCAAAGCAGGCGTACTCTGCCAACGTAATAGACATTAACTCCCCATCTTTCTTTTGGGTTGCATTTTAGAAATGTTATTTTTGTGTGGTTTGTGCGTGTAGTGACTACATCTAAACTGAATGAATCAACAAAACGTTGCACGTCTCTGAATGTATAGCAAGCGGGCACAAATCAGCCCACGAATTCCATGGAGATTGGTGGAACCAAAGTTCTTTGTATCAGAAGGTCATGCAGAATGTTAATTTTTTACTTTCCCTCCTCATCCCCAAAGATCTGGAGTCCTCCAGCATTGATAGAACTTCTTTTTAAAAACATCCTGTTTTCCTCTCTCACTGTGTGAAGTAGGCCAGACTAAGAGAATGTGCTTGGATGAAGTTAACTGCTGAACTTACATTTTAAGAACAAACCAGACTTTTCTACCCGCTGTTTCATCAACCACAGTTATGAAACTGTAGTTTCTTGAAGATATGGAGGCACTCTATTGTTGCCTAGTCTTCCGCTCTCTCCTAGTGCCATGTCATTAGAAGTCACCTTCAACTTGTGGTGACCCTAAGAAAGAGAGACTTCAAAGAACAACCTCTGAGGATGCTTGCCACAGATGTGGGCAAAACGTCAGGAGAGAATGCCTCTTGAACATGGCCATACAGCTAGGAAAACTCACAGAAACCTTGAACAAATTTCACATAGATTTGCATTCCGGAGAAGGAAATCCATCTTCACAATGCAACTGCTTAAACTATTGTGATTCTTTTAAAATAGCTTTGATATTTAGATAATTGTACGTATGCAATAACATATATAATTTGGTATGTGTCACTGTTTGCTATCAAACAGTGACACATACCAATTATCATTATGGATTCCAACCCAGGATATTTGGTTGCCCAAAACAATTAACAAAAGTGTGTCCTTTGTACATTCTATCTAGCAGGGAAGATTTAGCATTTCAGACATTGTTGGACTATTATAATTCTCAGTCTTCTTCCCAATTGGCTATACTGATTAGGGGTGATGGGACTTGGAGTCCATTGACACCTAGATAGCTACATGATTCCCAACTTTGCCATAAACTGAAAATCACAGTACTACCAATTAGAAATTTCTTTAGTGCTATTGATGGACTAAGAATCCTTCATTCTAACAGAAGATGGCAGGTGAATTGATAGATAGTTCAGAGCCATCTGCGAGGTACATACAACTCTGACTTTCACTAAAGAAACACTAATGGGGTTTTGAGGAGATAGGGTAAGAAATTGCTACTGCCACAACTGATCAACATCTACCATCTAAGGCAGGCATGGGCAAACTTCCAGGTGTTTTGGACATGAAGACCAAAACACCTGGAGAGCTGAAGTTTGCCCATGCCTGAAGGCATTTACCTCATCTACCAAAAAGTAACACATCTACACTGGCCACTTAAGTTTCAAACCAGCATTGAATGAAGTAGTTTTGCTGTGCAGGTGGTTACCCAGGAAATCCTGGAAGCAGTTTGAAGCCCAGAGGGTGATTACACTAACCACGGAGCATTGATGCACATTAAGGGCTCTCTTTTGCATGGTTTGGGTCCAGGCTGTCCAAGGCCATCTCATGCACTGCATTCAGCGGAGGAGGCCCTGCTCTCGGTCCCACCCCTGTCTCAAACACAACTGGTGGGAACGAGAGATGGATCCTTCTCCATGATTGCTCCCTGTCTCTGGAACTCCTTCCCTAAAGAAATAAAATGGTTCCTACCCTCCTCTCCTTTAAGAAAGTTCTAAAAACACACTTATGCACTTTGGCATACGGAGAGGAGGAAGACTAGGACACATTAATCCAGGCCTCCTCAAAGCTTTTTGGGCCTCCAACTCCCAGAAGCCCTAGCCATCTTGTTCAATGGTCAGGAATTCTGGGAGTTGGAGGCCCAAACAGCTGGAGTGCCACAGTTTGAGGAGGCCTGCTTCAATCCATTGGAACGCTGGCAAACCCATTAGTACCATATGGCTGATGCATCTTAAATGAACACCTGTGTTAGCCATTTTTAATGCAATGTATTTTTACTGCTTTTTAGGGTATATGTATTGATGCTTACTCATGTTTTAGTTTATTGTCTTATTGGATTATTGCGATTTTTTTCATTCCAATGTTTAATTGTTTTATTATAAGTTTAGTGTTGTTATTGTGCACTACTTTGTATTGTTTTGATGTGTTTGCACTTACCTAGAAATTGGATGTTTGCCTTTTTTGTGTGTAAATCAAACTGAATCCCTTCAGGGAGATAGGACAGTCTAGAAATAAAGTGCTGCTGCTGCTGCTGCTGTTGTTGTTGTTACTTTTGTTTGAGTTTCTTGTCTGGCCACTGGCCTTTGAAGCTACCATTAAATAGTAAGTGTAGTGGGGCACAAGTCACCCTATCACCAATAACCCCACTCAGACTCAGGACTGTGACTTCCTTCCTTGTGCCTATACATCCATAATGTAGAGAAGCTCTCTCTCTTTTCCTACTGCCTCCTCCCTCACCAAGTGTAATCGTCTTTTCTAATGAGCCATCTCTTCTCATGATATGGAGAGCAAGCCCTATGAGGAGCGGCTTAAAGAGCTGGGCATGTTTAGCCTGAAGAAGAAAAGGCGGAGAGGACACATGATAGCCATGTATAAATATGTGAGTGGAAGTCATAGGAAGGAGGGAGCAAGCTTGTTTTCTAGGACGCGGAACAATGGCTTCAAGCTACAAGAAAGGAGATTCTATCTGAACATTAGGAAGAACTTCCTGACTGTGAGAGCTGTTCAGCAGTGGTACTCTCTGCCCTGGAGTCTGGTGGAGGCTCCTTCTTTGGAAGCTTTTAAACAGAGGCAGGATGGCCATCTGTCAGGGGTGCTTTGAATGCAATTTTCTTGCTTCTTGGCAGGGGGTTGGACTGGATGGCCCACGAGGTCTCTTCCAACTCTATGATTCTATGATTCTATATGGCCAAAGTACAACCTCAGCTTAGTCATCTTGGCTTCTAGGGAAAGGTCAGGTCTGATTTGTTCTAGTCTTTTTAGCAATCCATGGTATTCACAGAACTCTTCTCCAGCACAACAGCTGAAATGAGTTGATTTTCTTCGTATTGGCTTTTTTCACTGTCCAGCTTTCAAAACTGTACATAGAAATAGAGAATACAGCAGCATGGACATGCCAAAGTTAGCATTCGATTATGTATCTTTACACTTAAGGATATTGTGTTTAATATTGCTGAAGAAGAGGCCAGAATAATGCAAGTCAGGTACCTAGAGCCACCAGACCAAGAGAGGAGAGAAAAAGAGAGCTGAGGAAGGCAAGCAAAGCCACACACTGCCCAAATAGACATAGCCTACCATGCTGATGGACAAATGCCCAAACAAAGCCCTTTTCTGCTACACCAAACAAAAAGCTCTTTACCTGCTGAGACAAGCAGGTTTTATTATATGCATACTGTTGGAAAACACCACATAGTGTATCCCAGTGTCCACCCATGGTTTACTGAAAATGTAATGCTCTCTGCTTCTCGGCAGACTATTGAAATGAGCTTAGCCATGAAGACTGGACTCATAAAACAAATTCATGTATGTGATTGCGTGCTGCTCAAATAGTAAGTAGGACTAGCAAAGAGCCATCTTGGTGCCTCCCTTTAGATTTTTTTCCTCGGTTCAATGCAATATGAACAGAGGCCGGAGGTATAGCACAGTTGGTAATTCATCAGCAATTATAAGATCTATCAACCAAAAGGTTGCAAGTTCAAAGCACCGCATTGGCATGAGCTGCCAACTGTCAGCCTAGCTCATTGTATACCTAAGCAATTCGAAAACAGCTTTAGCTGTGATTAGAGAAATTAGGTACCGCTAAAAAGCAGGGGAGGTGTTTTACGACACCATAAAGAAAGAAGATCAATGCTGGGTGACCAAAAGGAAGGAGGAAGTCCTGATAGCGCTTGGTCACAGAAGATAGAGCAACAGCACCCGCTGGACTCGAGCCCAACCTTCCATGGCACCTACTTCTGTTCTGTCTGTCTGTGTATTGTCTATACAAAGCGGCATTGAATGTTTGCCGTGTATGTGTACTGTGATCCGCCCTGAGTCCCTTTCGGGGTGAAAAAGGGTGGAATATAAATAAAGTGTTATTCTTATTCTTATTCTGTTTATTTCCTATCCCGGTTCACTTTCAATGCAAGAAGCTCCTTTCATCCATAAGGTCTTCATAGATCTGCCAGCAGCTTATGACACTGTAAATCATCACCTCCTCCTGAGAAAAACATATACTATCACAAAGGACTACCACCTCACCCACTTCATGGGAAATCTGCTACAAAACAGGAGCTTTTTTGTTGAATTCCAGGGCCAGAGAAGCAGATGGTGAAAATAGAAGAAGGGCTGCCTCAGGGAAGCGCGCTTGCTCTATCAATGTTTAACATTTATACAAATGATCAGCCATTGCCAGAAGGGACAAAGAGTTTCATCTATGCTGACAATCGTGCCATCACCACTCAAGCAGGGAGCTTTGAGATGATTGAACAGAAGCGTTCCGAAGCTTTAGGTGCTCTTAAACCTCTTAAAGGGAAAACCAGCTGATTCCGAATCCATCTAAAACACAGACATGTGTTTTTTATCTTAAGAACAGATAAGCATATTCACCTCTAAGGATTACCTGGGAAGGAATCCCACTGGAGCACTGCAGCACACCCAAATACCTGGGAGTTACCCTGGACCGTGCTCTGACCCATCACACTTTGGGACAGAGAGTTCCACTGCTGAACAGCTCTTGCAGTCAGAAAGTTCTTCCTAATGTTCAGGTAGAATCTCCTTTTCTGTAGTTAGAAGCCATTGTTGCATGTCTTAGTCTTCAGGGCAGCAGAAAACAAGCCTGCTCCCTCCCCCCTATGACTTCCCCTCACATATTTATCCTTGGCCCTCATCATATCTCCTCTCAGCCTTCTCTTGGGCTAAACATGCCCAGCTCTTTAAGCCATTTCTTATAGGGCTTGATCTCCAGACCCTTGATCATTTTGACACATTCCAGCTTGTCATCATCTCCCTTCAATTGTGGTGCTCAGAACTGGACACAGTATCCCAGGTGTGGTTTGACCAAGGTAGAATGGAAGGGTAGCATGACTTCGCTGGATCTAGGTACTATACTCCTATTTATGTAGACCATTGTCAGTATTAATAACCACCTTGAGAAAATTAACAACGATACATACCTCTCAATACACTGGCAAACTGAAAAATCCCGCTTTGGGTCAACCAGCTGATATCATCCAAGTTCCATTCTTCACTCAAATCCATCTTTCAGTGCAAAGTCAAGTGTTGATTTGTGAACAGTGACAGCTCCACCAGACGTCAAAAACCAGGCAGGAGGTCCTTCTAAAGAAAATAGCACAGCATACACTTAACTACAGTTTCCATTGATTTCTAGATATGAAAGAGCAGAGGGTTGCTATAGAAATGGAAATGCTGCGATGTATTTCAGGCTTTCACTTTAATCTCAAAGGCGGTCACATTTTATCAGAGGAAGTCAAAACAGATCTTCTTATCCTTCCTCCTTCAAACGTGTAAAGAATTGGCTCTGTGCTGCTTTTAGAAAACTGGCTACAGTAAAATGTATTTCATTGCATTGCATTGCATGACTAGCAATAACAAATAGCTCTTCGTTCTATACCTTCAAGCAAATTTACACAGTTGTCAGAGTTGGGCACATTGCTTGACTAGAATCTCAGCCTGATGCTATTATTCTCCACTATGACATTGCAAAGGAAAGATCCAGATATTCTGTATGTATGGAATGGGAACTGCCTTACAACAGAGAGGAATGGGCATACCTGGATCTCTATCCCAACGAGTATTCTTCTGACTTCAAATATATCAGATGTAACAAAACTGAGTTCACAATGTGGAGGGGGACCAATTTGAGCTAATCCAAGGAATAAGGAAATAAGCAAACCAAATGAAACAAACCTATGCACTGATTAGGGAAGCCTGCCACCTAATGACCAAAAATAGTATTGTGGTGTTGTTGTTCATTCGTTCAGTTGTTTCCGACTCTTTGTGACCTCATGGACCAGCCCACGCCAGAGCTTTCTGTCAGCCGCCCGTCACCACCCCAGCTCCTTCAAGGTCAATCCAGTCACTTCAAGACTCCCATCCATCCATCTTGCCCTTGGTTGGCACCTCTTCCTTTTTCTTTCCATTTTTCCCAGCATCATTTCCTTCTCATAGAATCATAGAATCACAGAGTTGGAAGAGACCTCATGGGCCATCCAGTCCAACCCCCTGCCAAGAAGCAGGAATATTGCATTCAAATCACCCCTGACAGATGGCCATCCAGCCTCTGTTTAAAAGCTTCCAAAGAAGGAGCCTCCACCACACTCCGGGGCAGAGAGTTCCACTGCTGAACGGCTCTCACAGTCAGGAAGTTCTTCCTAATGTTCAGATGGAATGTTCTCTAATGTTCTCTAAGCTTTCCTTTTTAGGTATTGTATTGTAGGTGCTTTAAATTCATTTATATCAGTGGTGCCCAACCTATAGTTCATGGACCACCAGTGGTCCGCAAAAACTAAAATATACTCCACGGCCTTACCATTAGACCACCGTTGCATTGAGAGTGACTGGTCTTGCAAAACTCTCTTATAGTGCTGGGGTTTATTAAATATGGGTTTTCTGTGGGCAAGCAGATGTGACTACTGGATGGCATATGTTCTGTATCAGAAACTAGAGCTGATGTGGTCTATCCATGCAATTTTCTGAATCAGCACCCCAAATAACCGAACCAAATCTAAAGATGACCAAAAACCGATTTGTAACCCTTTTGGTACTGATGTTGGAGAGTGGTCCCTGGTCAAAAAAAAAATGTTGGGAACCACTGATTTACATGTTTAGATTAAATATAATTCAAAAAACAAATTCAGGTGCCATCTAAATTCTAACAAAAATGTGCCAACAAATATGGAAAGGCTCAATGTATTCTAATCTCCCCCAAAAAGGAAAAACAAGAGTTACAGTAACCATCAGAGCACTATATTAATATCCTACGCAAGCAAAGTGATTTCCAAGACATTATCATATTTGGAGTAAAAAATTCCCAGTCTCCAAGTTTGCTTCAGAATAGGAAGCGATATTTAAGATCATAAAACTAACATGCGTAGCTAATGAAGTACACCAAAGAACAGGGTCAGTAGGTGTTTTATATGGATATAGTGTATCTGGATTTCAGTAAGGCCTTCGACAAGCTTAAGCGGTTGAGGGAAAAAGGAAAGAGCCTGAGGAACTGTGGGAGATGAAGTCCGAAACGCCTGGAGGGCTGAAGTTTGCCCATGTCTGCTCTACACTGTAGTGTTAATGCATTTTAAGACCACTTTAACTGTCATGACTCAATGCTCTGAAATCCTGAGAGGTGTAGTTTTACAAGGTCTTTTGCCCTCTCTACCAAAGAGTACCGGCGCCTGATCTATCCTACCCTACAGCAAACAGGATTCAATGGCAGTCCCCAAGTCATCCATGTACTAAACAGAGCAAATGCATAGATTAGAGGGAGAGAAATCCTATCCTATACATCATCCAAATCACAAAGAAAATATTACAAGTTTGCCTAATGGTAAAGCCAATGCTGGAAGTGTCACCCATGAAGCTTAGATTCCAGATCCCATAAACAAATTCTTCAAAACCAGTTTTGAAAACCAGATAACAATGTCAGCTTCTGAGCTTGCTAAGAAAGTAGGCTTATAGGCAAGAATGGAACCAGTGGAACAAGAATGAACAATTGAGCACCTCCTTTGTGATTATATATCAGATGAGCAAAGCAATTCCCCTGCTTTTTCTGCCTTGTAAACAGAGAGCTATCTGCAAGCGATGCTTGCTTGCCAGAAGGCCTGGCACTGCTTTGGAAAGATGCTCATTTTCCCTGGCTGTATGACTTGAGTAGTACAACTGATTTAGAGCCATGATTTAATCAGAGTTGGAAGAGACCACAAGAGCCATTAGTCCAGTGTTTCTCAACCTTCCTAATGCTGCAACCCCTTAATACAGTTCCTCATGTTGTGGTGACCCCAACCATACAATTATTTTCATTGCTACTTCATAACTGTAATTTTGCTACTTTTATGAATCGTAATGTAAATATCTGATATGCAGGATGTATTTTCATCCACTGGACCAAATTTGGCACAAATACCCGATACGTCCAAACTTGAATACTGGTGGGATTAAGGGGTGGTTATTGATTTTGTCAATTGGGAGCTGTCATTGCTGAGATTTATAGTTCACTTACAATCAAAGAGCATTCTGAACTCTACCAATAATGGATTTGGGCCAAACTTGGCACACAGAACTCCCATGACCAACAGAAAATACTGGAAGAGTTTCGTGGGCATTGACCTTGAGTTTTGGAGATTCCACCTACAGATCTTTTGCATTGTGAACTCTTGGCTCTGCCTTTTCCTCTGCTTCAGTTCCACCTGTTCATAGATTTTCCCAATAGTGTAGATACCTTCCTTTGTATTAGTTTTTGGGTGGAGCATAACACCCCCCAGAGGCCAGCCTTAGTTGGTCTACTCCATTTGTCTGTATAGAGCTCTATTGCTGGACTCTTCCTTTTCCTACAGTCACTAGAGACTTGGGGCATTTTCTGGTTATCCTGGCCTTAGCAATCCAAAACAGGCATCCTTAGCACCTGCATTCAGCAGTATTTTTATACCAGCAGTCCAAAGGACCACAGAAGCTTATTACCAGCTTAAGCTTCACAAGAAAGAAGATTGAGACAGTTTATAACCATCGCTTTGCACCAGAGGTAGGCGACACCAGAGAGATGACTGCAGCCAGTAAAGGCTCCTTTTGTAATATACTGTTTTAAGTTACATTATGATAGTCCCGGGTGGAGTTATTTATTCATCTTGTTTGCAGTAAACTCATTTTGGTTATTTTTTCACTTTGCCTAAAGTGCTTCTGTCTGCTAAGGATCTTAATCTTAACAAAAGTTAGCACCTGTGTAAAGCCAGACACTATAGTTTCCCCAAAGGCTCGGGCATGCCATCACATGCATATTGTCCAGATCCGTTAAATAGATACCATGGGCACCAAAAATATTCCAAAATGGACATTCCCAAGTGAACCTGCAGCAAAGTTTCTTCCTCCAGTACAGATGTTAATTCCTTATTCTTAGGGCACCCAGGTTATTTTTTTTGTGGCTGGGCTATGAAACTGAAATGTCCTTCGATCTGCATGCCAGCTGCTGGTTGCTGATGAAAATAAATCCAACAGACATGAAATCACCGGCTCCTCTCCAGTAAAATATTTCAAGTGCAGCCACAAAAGCTTCTGGCTCTGTTGCTGCCTGTGAGATGCTTGCCAACAATTCAGAAAGCAGAACCCTCCACAAAATTTATTAAGCCAAATCACAGCAGGCAGCAAAAAACTACAGGAAAAATGGCTGGGATCAAAGGGAGGGAGGAGCGCCAGGAATTTTCACGAAGCCAGAGCTCGGAGAAACTGAGAATTATGTAACGTTGGGGGATTAGTTGGTGAAGGTGAAAATGAATGAGGCTAAGCTGTAGGTATGCTTAGGCTCCCTAAGTCAATTCATTGCAAAGTGCAACACGAATCCCTTTGTCTCTCCACTACAGTGGCCTTCAGAAGACTATATTTAGAAACTCAGATCTGATATGGAATAATCCCACAATAGCTCTTGAAAGCCAAATGCTTTCATCCAACACCATCCTTTCCTGTTTGAAAGCGGTTTTTTTCCTAAACTGGTGCTCCTCAGATGTGTCAGATGACAATTCTATCACCCTCAACTAGTATGAATGGAGAATGATGGGAACTGTAGTCACTCACATAGAAACAAAGGGTCCTTCCACACGGCTCTTTATCTCAGGATTTGGTCTCAGATTATCTGCTTTGAACTGGAATATACGATCCCCTACTGTCAGATAACCTGGGTAAGGTAAAGGTAAAGGTTTCCCCTGACATTAAGTCCAGTTGTGTCCGACTCTGGGGGTTGGTGCACATCTCCATTTTTAAGCTGAAGAGTCGGCGTTGTCCATAGACTCTTCCAAGGTCATGTGGACAGCATGACTGGGGCATCATTACTTTCCCGCCAGAGCAATACCTATTGATCTACTCATATTTGCATGTTTTCAAAGTGCAAGTTAGGAAGAAGCTGGGGCTAACAGCCAGATCTCACCCCACTTCCCGGATTCAAACCAGTGACCTTTCAGTCAGCAAGTTCAACAGCTAAGTGGTTTAACCCACTCACCACTGTGGGCTCCTGATAACCTGGGATAAACAAAAATCTGAGATCAGATCCTGGGATTTAGGGGTAGTATGGAAGGGGCCAAAGATACACACACGAAACCTTCTGGGATGGTGAAGCC